GCAGGACAGAGTCCTGCTTCTGAGGATGGTGCTGCTGCAACACTTGGGTCTCGGGAGCGCCTTTAGACTGGCCAAACAGCACAGCACTGGCAGTGGGGTGTCCCTGCTGGCCATGCGCCACCTGCTGCTCTAGGTTTTTTGTGGGTGCTGAAAGGGACTGTAAGATCTAGAAAACAAAAGCAGGGCCAAGTCACTACCAATAATTACCCGCTCACAGGCAAGTAAAAGTGCATCCACGCAGCTGACACACCAAACCGCTACCTAACAGAGACCAGACAGCAACACCACACTGCTCTCATGTACTTTGTATTCAACACCCAGAGAGCAGGACACTGAATTATAAAACAGAAAATGAACGAACAACACTGTAGCTTTGAAATGCTCAGCAGGTGAAGTGCTTCCTACCCAAGCCTGGCAACCAGCATCTAAGCCCTGGAACCCACTGTACAAAGAGAGAACCAATTCCCCAAAGTTGTCTCTGATCCACACACCAACCCCCGCCCCCAACACACACACACACACACACACACACACACACACACACACACACACACACAGAGGACTGCTGCATCTTAAAGAACAGGACAGCAAAACAAACAAATGGCAGTATTTAGTCCTGCTTGGCTCTGAGCAGGCTGGGCCACCGGGAATGTGGCAGTCTACAGGGCAACTCCTTCCCTCCATACCATGGTCTGCTTCTGACTAACTGACGAGTGCTCCGGAAAATGGCAGCCTCGGCTCAAGTCTTACCACAGGAGCAGCCATGTTCTCCTTCCTCCATTAGATAAGGCAGGGAGGGGAGTTTTAAGCTTACCACCATAGCACTCAGACCACAGCTACACCCAGCACAGCTCCTATTCCTCCCTCACTGTACCCTGCTCTGGGCAATGCATGTGACACAGAAGAGAGAGAGATGGACTCTAGCAAAAGGCGTGCTTAAAGGCAAATGTTAGCTGGACTTGACGGTACAGACCTGTAATTCCAGCACTTGGGATGTGGAGGCAAGAGCATCAGGAATTCAAGGTCAGCCCTCGCTATATAAGGAGTTCAAGGCTAGCATGGCTACCCACCTCAGTATTCTCAAATAATAACAACATTATTATTAAGAGGAGGGAGGTACTGGGGAATAGGCCATGCCAACCTGACATCCTGAGGTCAGACCTCTAGACCTCACGTAAGAGCCAGGCCCAGAAGTATATGCTTCTTGATGCATATATTGATCTTAATGTTCCTACAGGGAGGCAGAAACTGGGAAGCTCATGGCTCACTCACCACACCACAGTGAACCAGAGACCTTGTCTCAAACACGGTGGAATGCAAGGACTGACACTTAAAGTCTTGCTCCACATGAACACTGGGGTACAAGCGATACATATGAAGATTTTTTTGAGCAATGGTGCTCACTTTTGCAGCACATATATTAAAACTAGAATGATACAGAGATAATTAGCATGGCCCCTACACAAGAATGACACACATATTCATGAATAGGTTCCATAGTTTTTGGTTGGGGGAGAACTCACGAGGCCTCGACCCTACAGAAAGAACTACAGGCAACCAAGGAAAGCTGAGAGCAGAAATAGTCTTCCCTAGGGAACAGGACATTAACTGGCTATCCCATACCAAATGGTCAGTCCTAAAAACATATATATTTAAGTAACATACAGACTAAACAGGTTATATTCATATAGTCGTGAGTGCGAGAACACACAGATACTAACAACAATTAGTGGAAAATAAGTCATGGATTTGAAAGAGCAAGGAAGGCTATACTGGAAGGTTTGGAGGAAAGGAAAAGGGAAAAATGATGTAATTATATTAAAATTTCAAAAAAATAAAAACTGGGTTCATGAAAGCAACCTTTCTTTTGTACACAGATATATGCCAGCACTTAGAACAGTACTTAGAATGTACCGTTGTTTAAATAAACACGTATTAAAAGAATCTTTCTTTAAAAAGCTAATGGTCTGCCTTCCTGAGAAATCATTACAGCTATTGACTGTCCTCCTCAAACAAGACTAAGCAACAGATGGGACAAACACGGAGACCGCCCGCCACACAAACAGGCCAAGGCAGCCATCTGCCACACTGCTGTCCTTCGCACTGCCAACCCATCCAAAATGACCCCAGAAGACATGACACAAGAGCAGCTGCCAGGACAGGCTTGGGGGAAATCTGCAGTCAGGCAGCCCCCCTGCACCAACTTCTAGTTCTGAGAGAGATCAGCAGACTGCAGCAGACCTTGATGTCTATGTGGGGCGCTCATATGGTACAAAGAAGAAAAAAGTCCAACAGCGGTGACACGCCTTTAATCCCAGCACTTGGGAGGCAGAGGCGGGCGGATCTCTGAGCTCGAGGCCAGCAGGGTTTACAGAGCTCCAGTAGCCACAGCTACACAGAAAGTTTGTCTCAAAAGAAACCAGCAACAACAAAGGAGGGCAGGAGAGTGCATGGCATGTGGCTGTTTCTGCCCTGACCTAGAAGCAAAAGCTGCCATGGCTGACCCAGTCTGTCCAAGGAGAAACAATGGAGAGTCAGGAGGAGCTGGCCAAGCTGAAAATAGCCATTAGCATGGGGTCTCCACATCTGTGGTGGGACAACCAACAGAGCGCCACGGTGCTCACACCACTCTCCCATCTCATGAACCTCAAGCTGAGAACGCAGCAACCCGAGGAGCCCAAGGAAATGTGTCCCAAGGTCTTGCCCATGTAACCATGCCATCTGCAAGCAGCATTTCTGAACAGACAGCAACTTTGAATTTCCCCTCCTTCAAACTGTATTATCTGAGTTCCTGCTAAAATATAAAAAGCATACCACACAAGCCATACTAAGACATACTTGCCATCAAACAGGAGTTAACAAACACCTTCACCCCCTCCAACCTGATCAAAAAAATCAAACTGAGTCTCCCCTGTCTAACATTCTGAAATGCATTTCACAGTGGTAAGGGCTCTCTGGAAACGCCAAAGTGACCTGAACCTAACTTTGCTGTTGCTAGCCAACCTGGTGTCACTGGAGGACAGTATCAGAGCAGTATCAGTACCCGGCCCTCAGCTCATTTCAGACATCAGTCTATGTCTAAATCCAAAAAGAGTTAGGAGTCCCCACCCTGAAACCTCTATGTATGTGAACACAGACAGGAGAATAGTTGCTGACCAGTCCTAGTTAGTCTGAAAGGGGGGTGGGGGTTACAGGCCTTCAAGCGAGGAAGGGAATGCAAACTCTTGAGCAGCCAGAAGCCTCATACCTCCATCTAGCCTCACGACAGGCTCTGAGATCTCTTTAGTCAACATTTCCAAGTGTATATGGGTCAAGTCCACCTGGACAGCCTAGGTCCCCTCACCAGAACTTGCTAACCTTTTATTCTCTCCTCCCCTCAAGACCTGAGGTCAGAAATTTCCATCCTCTTTACCTCCAGCCTACTAAGCACAGTACCCCTTCTTCTAATTGTTACCCTCCTTGCTGCCCTCCACTGCTCTTCTGCTAAGCCCCATCCCACTCTGTGGCTGTGGGGACACATGGCTCCTGCCTCCTGGACACTGGTATGCAGGAAGGCAGGGCGGTACACCCTCCACACTCGGGCTGGAACCACCCTTCCGAGCAGCTCAGTAGCCCCTACTTCACAGATACGCCTGGTTTGTCAGCTCTGAGGCCCCCTCACCTGCATGCCTTCCCAGACAAAATGAAGAGTTAGGGTTAATCACAAAGACATGTACCTCGTGAACAGGTACATGCGTCCCTTGACATCTGGGAAGGGATAGAGGCAGTCAAGCAGGAAGTTGTGGGACCTTAGGCCACCAGCGAGACTTCATTCCTAAAGGTGGCTACAACTTCTGGAACACTAGGCCCGAGATTTCTGGTTGTTTATTAAAGATTCATTTATTTTCCTTTTATGGGAACAGCTGTTTTGCCCACATGTATGCCTGCCCACATGTGTGCATGCAGCGGCTGCTGAGGCTGCAAAGGCTGGTAGATCCTGGTACTGGCATTAGACGACTGTGAGGCACCACATGAGAACTGGGAACCACACCCGGCTACTCCACGAGAGCAGCCAATGCTCTAAACCACTTAGCCATCTCTCCAGCCCCAACCTGGTCAGCTTTTACCAGACCATCACCACCCCCACCCCCAAAAAAGCCTGAACTCCAGTCTGTATGGAGAATCTTGGAATCTGGACAAATGCATTTTACTATTTATTTTTACCAAATCAGAAGGTGCCTGTCTGTGAACTATACACTTTGACACCGCCAAAGGTCATGGCCCAGGCTCTGTCCTCCACAGGAGCCATTCTCTCCACAGGGCTCTAGCTGGCCCCTCAACTTCCCTCTCCCCAGACTGAGCTCCCTCTTACTTCCCAGGTCACTGCAAAGTGGTGGTTGCCAACCTAAACTAGTGCTGACCACACACAGCACTACTGTCTTCCGGTCTCTGAATCAATCTTCTTACGGTCCGTTCGCCACTCTCCTTAGACCCACATAACCCTCTCCTATTTATCTTGTCTCAGCAGCTAGCTTTTCTCTTCCCAACATCTAAAGGATTCCAGAGTCACCTGGATCTGAACTCCATCCCCACCACTGTCTCTAGAGTCCCAACCATCAGTTTTCACTGCTCAAGTTACAGGCACAGTTTTCTAAGCATCTCTAACCAATCGAGGCTTCCTTAAAGCCCTTGCCCTAATCAAATCCAGCAGAATGATTACCACCACCTCACACCAGGCCATGCATAGCTGCCTATGTCCACCTCAAATGGCAGCAGGTCCTACCTCAGATTGTTCCCACAGCTGAACTGTTAAAGAAAAAACAAAAAAGGTCAAATCTGCCAGACCAGGGCAGCCACCACAGCAGCTCCTAATGGGAGGGCTTCTGGCTGTCCATGCCTGGCTGCTCCCAGCACGCCCTGGAACTCTCTCTCCCCTTGCTTCCTCCTACCTCAGGGACAGTCTCATTGGCCGCAAAACTAGAGATCTTCGTGTGTTGTCACCCACTCACCCCGGCCTTAATCAGATGTCTTCAGGGTCCTGTCCAGCACCATTTACCAGCCTCTTGTGAGGCTCTCCTGCTTCCTCCCCCTCCTCCCCTTTATAACTAACTCCTCATACAACTGTCAGACACTGGCACACCCCTGCTCAAATCCTGTGAAGACTCCCATGAAGGAAGTGTACACTCCTCCAATGACAAAGCTCCTTGTCTGTCTCTCATGATCCCTCACACCACCCAGCTCACTTCTCATCACGTTCTCAGAGCACAGCAAATCCTTGCCCACTGTGGGTTTTCACCGGGAACCCTGTCCCCAGGGCTCTGCACCACCTTTAATTCAAGCCTAACATCACCTCCTTCCTAAGATTCTTGCCACCGGTCTGGTGACAGACTTTGACAGTGAAACACACAGTAACATGCACCAACAGGGACAACATTTAAAGATATGAGCATGGGAAACATACTGAGTTCGCTCCCCGGTGGACACAAATGACTACACTGCCAGGCCACGAGGCCTCATGGAGCCACTGGCAGGTATTTGGTTCCTTGCTGGCCCAAATGTTACCATCTGTTTCATGCCTGTTTAACATGACTGTAAAGAAGTCCCCACAAAAATGGGACTCATAAGTGACCTGATCTGAAGGGCGATGAAATCCCACTCTTGAATGCAGCCTTCAGCTTCCTGAGACTTACGTGCGCAACATTGGATGGTCGACTGATCTGCTGCATGTCGGCGTTGTTTGTGATATTTCGCAACGTCCGGACGGCTGGGCTCCAGGCCCCTAGCATTTCTGATCGCTCAGAACCCTGGAGGTTTTGTCCAGCAGCCATCAAGTTACTCCGCATGTCAGGAGGCAGGATGTCCCCGGGGACAGGTGGCACATTGGCACACAGGTTAATAAGTCCCGGCCCTTTTCCCTGAGGCAGCCTGCGCTGGGCCGTGGTGAGTGGCGGGGCTTCAGCAGGGGCCCAGTTCAAGCTCCGCTCCTGCTTTTCGGGGGATGAATCAGAAGAGTCATCAAACATCAACTCCCCTTTGGACACCTCGGCTCTGGGCTTGGGTGAGAAGGGTTGGTCAGCAGGAGAGGCTTCTGGAGAACTGGCCGCACTCGACTTCTCCTCAGTGCTGCCCTCGTTCTGAGAGTCCTGCTCCTCGTTGTCTCCCTCCTCCTCCTCCTCTTCCTCCTCCTCATAGATGATCAGACGAGGATGATAAAAGGCTTCATCCTTCCTGCTCTTCTCAGTCACGCAGTCCAGGACCCAGTCAGGAGTGACAATCTTAATACTTGCTCTCTTGACAGCACGCTCGTATTTCTCCTGGAAGTGAAGATAAACACATACTAAATGATGCTGTTTCCGCTCATCCTATAATCACAGATTCGAGAAGGGAGTTTTAAGTGGGATAGAGCTGCAGAGCTGCTGATGTCCTGCCACGCTTCCCAGAGAGAAACCCATGCCTATACCTGTGAGCTAGAGCTGTCGGAGGCAGAGGAATGGGTTATGACTGCAGCAGGAAGCTTACAAGAATGGGTTTAAATGAACTTTATAGGTGACATTTTAAAGTACATACAGAGAACTAGAAATCTTACGGAAAACGATAAAGTGAAGACCTGAAATCTATTTATACACACAAATGCTTTTTACAGAGCTGGCTGTCCAAAACAGGGAGACATTCACTAAGGGAACTTTGGGCAAGTGCCTTCAAGTCAATACAGTAAGAATGGTCACGGGGGTGTGGCTGTCCCCCCCCAAAAAAAAACCCCAAAAATTAAACATACAGTAAGAATAAAACTTAGAACCAGCACTAAGTGACAAAGTGTGATGTCAATATTAACTGCCAACTTGGCACCTAGGAGGCAGGCCTCTGGGCTCCTCTGTGAGAGATGATCTTGATTATTATTAACTGATATGGAAAGACCTATTAACTGTGGGTGGGATAATATCCGACCAGAGGGTCCTGGACAGTGATGGGAAGGGTAAGCTGAGTGCTGGCATGGATGCATCCCTCGCTCCCTTCTTCTGACTGTGGACATGTGACTAGCTCCCTCGAGCTCCTGTTGCTGAGACTTCCCTGCAAGGCTGGAGTTTCTCCCTTAAGCTGCTTTGCTAGAAGCTGGCCTTAGGAATGCCTCCCAGGAAGGCTGTGGCTGTCACACAGGTGGTAGTAACTGCCTAGTGAGGAGAACAGACAGGCAGCATGGCTAATGAGAAAAGGGTGAAGACTGTAAGGAAGAGGTAAGGGCCTAGGAAGCTTCCTAAAGAATCAAAAATACAAAAAGTGGCTTTAAAAAAAAAAACAAACAAGCCAGGCATTGGTGGCACATGCCTTTAATCCCAGCACTCAGAAGGCAGAGGCAGGCGGATCTCTGTGAGTTCAAGGCCAGCCTGGTCTCCAGAGCGAGTGCCAGGATAGGCTCAAAAGCTACACAGAGCAACCCTGTCTGGAAAAAACAAAAAAAAACAAAAACAAAAAAACCAAAACACAAGTGTGTAAGTATTGTCCAGTCAAATCACAACCATTTACTTCTCTCTGGCCAACACACAGCACCAAAACTAATGCCCACATCTTTCAACAGAACACATAGCCACAGCTGCAGCTTATGTTGGAGCAAGGACTGCACCAGGCCGGGGCAGGGACACAGCAGGACGAAGAATGCTTCCAGGCCTTGAGAAGACCAGGCTCTATAAAACAGGTCAGTCCTTACTGGTTGAGGGTTAACCTCAAAGTCTACTCCCAACTGACTCAAGGGAAATGAAAGGAAGAGGATAGGATGGGCCTCCTCCAAGGCTTCAAGTTCTGAAAATGCAGCAGGGATTTTGTGTAAACAAGGTTTATGGGAAGATTAAAAGATCTGAATTCCTAGCCAGGTGTAGTGAGGCACGCTTTTAGTCCCAGTACTTGGGAGGTAGATGTAGGCAGGTCTTAGAGTTTGAGGTCAGCCCGGTCTACATAATGAGTTCCAGGATAGCCAGGGCCATACAGTGAAAAAAAACAAAACATTTGAATCCCATTACATACAAGTTTTAGGAGGTGGAGATTTATGCAATATGTGTCCTTGGTGGGCCAGTTATCTTTTATAGGAAAAAGGAGTTTCTCACAACAATGTGTTCTAGACTAGCCAAGGCTACATAGTGAGACCCTGTCTCAAAGAAAGAAAACAGCTAAGCAAAGGAAAATGCGCAGGGCTGGGAGCACAATGGTGAAAGGCCACAGCTAACAATGGGAGTTGGTTTTAATGGCTTTGCTCTAAATATGCATGTGCACAACAGGGGGGCAAACAGCACTGCACTGCCCAGGAACAGACACCAAATGCCTGGTCCCTCACCCACCTGTGAGTGCTCTCCTATGCTGACATGCAAGTTAGAACGCCGGTACTTTTGCTTCTCATTATTCTCCTCCCCACTGCTGAGGACAGAACCTAGGGCCTCAACCATGTGAGGCAAGCATTCACCACAGCCCAGATGTTTACAGAATAAGTTACACCCACATCAACACCAGAAGGTATGAATCTGCCAATCTCCTGCTGACTGCCCAACATGCTGTAGGAACCCAACACATAAACAGAGGCCCTCTGGAAGAACGGCAAGTGTGCTTATAAAACACTGAGCCATCTCTCCAGCCTCCAGATAATCAATAAGTAAATAAATATTTATTACAGGCTGAAAGTCAAAGACTTAATATTTGGCAAACCCACCCTATTCATGTATTTCCTCTTAGACTCATAAGAATCTCACATCTTTTATGACAGAAACTAGTATCAGTAGCTTTTCTAAACAGAATCTAGTCATTGCAAAGAACTTCTTTAAAAACACTTTGATTCTTGTGTATGTGATATAAAAGGAGGGTGCATTTGAAGTGCTTACCCCCTTTGGCTCTGGAACAATCAAATGTGTGCACTTCTTGTTGAGGTTCAGCTGGCAATTGCCCCCGTGGAACGTAATCAAGGCCCACAGAGCACTTCTGTCCTCAGACGACACCTGGCAGAAAATGAGAAACACAACTTCACTACACATTCAACCATGTCTGTCTGCACTTTATTACACGGCGGCGTCCACACAATGCATTCACTGGTGGGCTCCCTCAGTCAGCTCGTAAGAAAAGTAAGAGCAGCACTCGGCCATCCTGCTACTCCCAGCAGCTTCACAGATAAAAAGCCTTGTGCCATGTCACCAACTAAGCAAAACTTAGTACCATCCTGGGCTGGGGAAGTAGCTGGGTGACAGAGCTTGCCTTGCATATACAAGGCTTTGGGTTAGACCCCAAGCACCACAAAATAATTTTTGAAACTTCCCATCAATGGCTAGAGAGATGGCTCACTAATTAAGAACACTGACTGCTCTTCCAGTGGACCAGGGTTCGATTCCCAGCACCCGCATGGCCGCCCACAGCCATCTGTAACTCTAGTACCAGTGAGTCCATCACCCTCTTGTGGTCTCCATGGGCACTGCACACATGTGGTGCAGACACAGACACACATGCAGGCAAAACATCCCCACATACAAAATAAAAATAAATAAATCTTTTTAAAATCCCATCTACATGCCAAAGGCTGAATAGAAGATTTTGGTCTATAATAAAAATGATACAAAAAACTAAAAAAAAAAAATATCAAAATCATAAACATCAAAATCATATTTATAGAGGCCAGTGAGATGGCTTAATGGGTAAAGCATTTGTCATGCAAGCCTGATGACCCAAGTTCAATTCCAGGAATCCACATAACAGCAAGATAGCCAACTTCACAAAACTGTCCTTTGACATGCGACCCCTTCGGAAAAAAAATTAACCATAAAACTTTTAAATCATTAATTACAAAGAACTCCTTCAAAATTAGTAATAATTACTAATTAGGACAAGGATAAAATTACAAGATAAAAATACAGTGAGTGGAAAGCCAGACAGAAAACAAACATTCCATGGGGAAAGCCTCAAGCAGGCGGAAAAGCCATTGACCTTATTCTCCAGAGATGTAACAGACTCCAGAACTGCCTCCCTGCTGCCCCTATTACTGCTCTCTGTGCCAGAAACTGTCACACGCTTCTCACACTAACCTGACTATGACCGTGAAACACAGAGCTTGCCACCAACCCCAGAGACGTTTGGGAACTGTCAGCAGTAGCACCTGACACCCCAGTATGAAGGCCCAGGCTCAACTCCACACACACTGCCATCTACTTCTCTAAGACGGGACCTCTGGGAAGGGCAACTTACTTTTAAAGGATAAAATTTAGTCTGAAAGGCAAAAGAAACACTTAAGAAATGTAATTCAAAGTTCACCTTAAGATAATCACACAAGCACAGGAAATCTTTTCTGGATTAATGTATTGTAAGCTGAAGACGCCTGGGTTTGTCTCTACATTTGCTTACAGTATTGATAAGCAACTGACTTCTTAATGCCAGCATGTGGCCCCCAAGAGCCCAACCTTGTACAGCCACTCCGAAGGCTGTTCTGTATTCCACACTACTCTGACTACACGTGAGCTTTCTAAAGTCATTTTCAAATCAGTACCCGACCAGGCTATTCTATTAGTGGTTTCCTGCAGCACTTGTAGAATGAGGTTTAATTATCTGACAAAAGACTGACCCAATACCTCACTATGCAATCTTTATGTAAAATGAGTGTAAAACCTAATCTAGATGCAGGTTTACCACTTGAGTGGACATGTCTGGAAAGGACAGACAGCTTCTTTACCAGCTGCAGTAATTGGCCTTCGCTGTACACCTCCTGCCCCTACACCTCACTAGGCAAGGCACCTTACGCTACAGTGAGAAGAGTACCAGGCAGGGGAGCACCCAGGAGAACTGGATCACTATCTGACAAGCAGCCCATCAACTCAGAGAACACAGGAAATGAAGTACTGCAAACACCCACAGCAGCTCAGATCTCTGTAACAAGTGAAACCAGACTCCCACACCCTCACACCAGCGACTGTCACCTCTTGGTCAAAGGATATGGACTTTTACACTTTTTTATTATCTCCAAATTTTCAAAAGCAATCTCTTTAAATGAGGAAAAAGTACTTTTCGTTTTTAAAAGTCATCTTTCCAAAGTCATGTTGACTCCAATGCTCTGCTGCTTCCTCCCAGTGTCAGGCTGAATCCCAGCATGGCACCAAGGCAGCTTAGCCTGCCTGGCTCCTGTGCCAGGACACCTAAATGCCACCTGTGCACCAATCCCTCCTCCTGCTATAATTCCACTGAACCCTTGGCAAGCCAGCATTAAGTTCAAGCACTCGCCAGACTCCAACAATCTGCTCTCTTGTCTTGTCCCGCTGTCCTCCCAGTATAGAAGTCCCTCACTCCCCAAAGACTTGCTTCTCTACTGCCAGCTAACACTCCTCTCAGCTAGGCATGGTGTCACATGCCTGCAACCCCCAATCTGGGAAATGGAGACAGAAATTCAAGGCTTATTTGTAGTGTCTTACTTCTACTGCTATGAAGAGACACCATGATCAAGGCAGCACTGAACTGGGAACTTGGTCACACTTTCAGAGGCTGAGTCCATGGTATCATGGATTACGTGACAGCAGCAGGCAGGCATGGTGCTGAAGCAGTAGATGAGAGAGCTCCCATCTGATCACAAGCACAAGGGAGAAAGAGACTGGACGTGGTGTGGGCTTCCGAAACCCTAAAGTCCATCCTCAGTCACACACCTCCTAATCCTTCCCAAACAGTTCCAACAACTGAGGACCGAATAGTCAAATATATGAGGCTATGAATGAAGGTCATTCTGAGTCAAACTACCACACTTAGCTACACAGAAAACTTGAGGTTAAACTGGACTATATGTGCGGACTCCTCTGTCTTAAACAATGAGAGAATGAGAGAGAGAGAGAGAGAGAGAGAGAGAGAGAGAGAGAGAGCCCTCCCTCCTCATCTTCACACACAGGGAAGAAGGCCCATGATTCCAGCTTCCATGTTCCCCTCCCTCAGCCAGCTAACACTCCTTACTAAAGGACACCCCCCCTCAATAATGTGAGCCCTGAACTGATCTGCTTTCTTTCACAGGCCCCACTATAGTCAAGAAAGGTGACTGCCATTGAATTGTAAGGGTATCCACTTGCAGCCTTGTCAACCTGAGTCCCACCTGGCCAGACTTTCTATCAGGCTCCTGACTTCCTTTCCAAGGCCTGCCCAGCACACTACAGAGATGACTTCTACAGGCAGGAGCCCTCTTCCCCACCTGTCCCTGGAAGACTCCAGAAAGGAATGCCAGCTCTTTCCCAACACCCCAACAAGAAAAGACAGAGGCCCATGGAACCAAGCCGGCCTTGGCTCAGGTGGCCATGCCTGGGTGTGCGTATGCATGGGCTCATACAGCTATTGTTGAAGGGGTGCCAAGCCTTGTGGCAGTCTCCATGCAGGGCAGAGCATAACCGTGAGGACAGCTCTTTGTGCTGTCCTCACACCTGCACTGTGCACACCTGCACTGTGTGTTACCGCACACTGTATTCACCCCTGAGCTTCACACTGTATGTATGTTAACACTGCTTTAAGCAAATTAACCTTTTTAAAAGCAACCATAAAATACTATTGTTTCCAGTGTACACGGTAAGCTGACAGTTGCAGGGTTTCTTCAAATAAGCTAAACAACACCTCTTTCTTAAAGACGTGCCCGTGTCAGGAGTGGTGTTGGAATCTCTGAAAATGCAAGGCTAGCCTGGTTTATACAGTGAATTCTAAGACTACATGGGGGAAATCCTGTCTCAAAAAAAGAAGAAGGAGAAGGAGGAGAAGGAGAAGGAGAAGGAGGAGGAGGAGGAGGAGAAGGAGAAGGAGAAGGAGAAGGAGAAGGAGAAGAAGGAGAAGGAGAAGAGATTTTACCTCCCAGCACACACTGGGGTTTTCAACTATGTTCAGTAAGTGACTAATGTGACAAGTGTATGCATTAAGAGATCATAAAGATCTACTGCTTCTGAATTTGGTTTTCTCTACTCAATGAACTTGCTGAAGGATGTATGATCCTGTCATGACCTGGAAATACAGATTAGTTCCCAGAAAAACCTGCCTCTGGAGCCCCACAACTGACACCACCCACCTCTCATTGTCTGGACAGACATGCTCTGGCCACAGCCCTCACCTCACTACTTCCTGATGGGTATATGGGTATCCTCCCCATTCCCCAGGCTGACCACCCTAGGTGTCCCCAGCCCAGATCCCAAGACCACTTAGAGGCCTGTGCAGCTCCTGGGCCTCAAGGCCCTGGCTTAACCTTGACATCTTTTCTCTCCTGATTCTGGGCCACAGAACTACAGCAAACGAACACACAAAACCATCATCACAAACTCATGCTGATCCTTTGCCCAGAAAGCAGCTGTTCCCAGGAACACAAACAAAACACGGTAGCAGCCAATCCTCTCTTCTGACTTTGTCTGCTCCTAACCAGCACCTTGCCTGTCCAATACCCTTTCCAAGTATGTCCAGTCCCCGTTTCTGCATGCCTTACCAAGGGTCCATCAGGCCCCTGCTGCCTCTCCCCTATGCTGAAGAACTCCATCATGGCACGTGTCCTCCAAGCTGCTCTGTGTGGACTGCTCATGGGTGTCCAAGTCACTGCACACCCGTATCCCTCATACACAAGCTCTACTTCAGTCCCCATCAGCTTGCCCCAAGCCTGACCTGAAGATAGGAGGCATGGACCCCACAGCACAGCACAGCACAGCACAGCACAGCACAGCACAGCACAGCACAGCACTGACAAGGCCTGGGATTTGTGAGGTTCCGACACTGCTAGCTAGGGTCCATGCTCCATCTGTGAACTCGGATCCCAAGCCTTCATCTCCATTCTCCACAGGTGTAAAATTCTAATGTCCACCTTGACCCCCATCATGCCCACAGTTCCCAGACAAAATGCCCCATTACCAATCTGTCACTTCAATCTCATTTTCCAAAGTTTCTAATGTAAATGTTTATGATCCAAAATTAAATATGTAGCTAAAATAGTAAGGGCTTCTTTCCCAAACCCAAACTCCATAAGCCATCCCATAGTCCTCCCTGACCTCCCATGCTCACCCAGCCCTGCCCCCCCCCACCCAAACACACACCCAACACACCAACATGGCTTCAAGGCCTTCTGGGCCCAGCCCCACCTTCCTTCAACCTGCTCCACTCCAGGCCCACACGGGTCACACCGTCAAAGTGTGCCGCCCTCTAAGTCAAACCAACACCCTCCGGGACCTCTGGGGTTTGTTTACCTTCCATACGAAGCACGCTTGTGTGTTCTAACCCCATGTGTACGTTACATGCCACTTATTACATCTACTACCATTGGTAACGTAACTACTGGCCTGAGACTAAAGTGTTTTCTCACACTCAACTCAGGTTAATATTTAATAATAGCTAATTAGCTCGCTTAAAACCTTTAAATCAGCCAGATGGTGGTGGTGGTGGTGGTGGTGGCGGCGGCGGCGGCACACACCTTTAATCCCAGCACTGGGGATTAAAGGCAGGTGGATCTCTGTGAGTTGGAGGACAGTTCCAGGGCAGCCAGAGCTACACAGAGAAATCATGTATTGTAAAACTAAAGGAAAAAAAAAAAAAATCCTGTAATCATCTTAAACTTTTGGCTTTCTTGTTTCCCCAAGTCAAAGCTACTGAACCTCACATTTCTGTCCTCCTCACCCCATCTCAGCCCGGACTTCTCCCTTTCTCAGAGTCTGAACCCCTTCTGGCAGAGGCAAAGCCTATGAAAGCCAGAGCCCAGTGGATGCCAGAGTAAGGAATCGCGAGACACACTGCGGGTGCAGCACAGTCCTATGTGGAGATGGAGACATGCTAAGATGGCCTCACTTCCCATTGGTCTGTATCGAATCTGTGTCTAGAAAGCACAGAGACTGTATGGCAAATAGTAGAGGCTGCAGATACCCAGAACCCCCACACTTACAAGTTTGTACATTAACCAAAATTTAAGGCTATTCTCATGTAAATATACAAATATACAGAAGGGGAAAGCACTAAAAAATAAAGTCTTAAAAAAAAAAGGAACTAAAAAAATACAAATCTCAACAAATTCCTGTTCAAAGAAATAAAGGGGTGACTTTAATGATCTGCATCAAACTGACATAGCAGAACAAAAAACAAAAAAACAAAAAAACAAAAAAAAGCTTTATAATTCCACAGCATTTCTAGAATTTATGAGACAGAAAAGAACAAAAACTCCAGATAAACTTACTTACTCGTTGCCTGGACAAAGGAGGGTCCCTCAGACTGGCAACATCATGTGTTAAAGGTTAAGTCTAGCCAACAACCTAACAATGGTACCCAACACTCCCTGGTTCCCAACCGGGCAAGGCTGAGGGAGGAGGAGACAAAGGCCAAGTCCTCCTCAGCTCACAAGCACACTGCTCTGCTCCTTTCTCAGAGGCCTGAAGAAAGGTAGGACAGGCCAGCTCCTCAGACCTGCCATCACAGGCACCCAAGGACAGACCGTGGGACCACTGTGAACTGTACCTTCTCTTACCTGAGTCACTCATTTTGGCCCACTGTTTAAAGAGTATAACCCTGATTTTGTGATTGCTGTGTTATAGCTTAGGCTTTTGTCAGCTGTGGTTAGGAGAACAGGGCATAACTACTAAGGATGTACTTTAAAACAATACCCACCTCTCTCAGGACCCAAAATTAACCACCATCAATATTCAGTTCCTCCATTTCCTGTTCTCCCTGGATGCCATAATGCTGTGTATCTATTATATATCCAGTATTTTCACTTAACACCATGTCCCAACTTTACACACTTCTGTAAAACATAAACTATCTAAATTATTCTGTAAGTGCATGAGATAGGGTTGTTAAGTACCTCGCTAAAGTCGCCTGTTTCTGACTTTGCCCTCATAGATACCATGTACATGGCCAGTCTCATGTCCAAGCTTCTCAATACTGGGAGTATTATACAATTCTTAATACTGCTAAACCTTCTCAGACAGCTGCCCAATGTGAGCAGTATGTCCCCTGCGTCCTCACTGGAACTAAATGCATCATTACAAATCTAATAGGCAAAAACTCTTATTATTAAAATGTTCATCTGACTGAAAACTACAGCACATGGCTTGATGAGCTAATATAAGCTGAATCCACTTCTTAAAGTCATTTGCTAAGGGTTTTTGTTATCTTTTTTCTCTTACTCTTCTATATGAAAATTCTTCAGACTACCAAGCTGAATTTTGCCATCTTCTAATTACAATTAACGTATTTTTCATATTCAAGTTTTAAATATCTGTATTTCTTTCAGTTACGTATGTATTTTTATAGTTTATGTAAGTGTGCTAGAAGTTTATTATCAAATACAGTCAGTTTAGCACAAAGATTCCAGGGAACTGGTTAACAAACAGGTCACAGGTCCAAGCGCATGAGCGCTCAGAACCATCACAGACAATAACCGTGCTTACCTGAGAAAGGCAGGCAGTGAGTCCAAAAAAAATCTGACAGGACTCTGGAGAGAAACCATTGACTCTGTCGGACAGTTATTAAGATTGCAATGAAGTAAGATGAGCACAGCCGGAACTTCACTAACACAAGCCCTGCCTGCCTACTAGGGCAGGCTCTGTCACCTCCCTCCCACTCGGAGCATTCAGAAAGTGAGACAAGCTGAAGATGACCAGAGACGGCAGAGCAGATGGAAGTAAAGCAAGAGAGGAAGCGAGCAACTGTCAGTAGAGGACATCACAAAGTCCAGCTCTCCACTCAGGTCACCACTAAGATGGACAGTGTGTTCACAGCAAACTGCCTGACTCCTACCCACTGCCTAACTACACACAATGCAGATACATGGGACAGACACACAAACACACACCCTAAAAACGCAGCACCCAGGGTGTGCTCGTCCAACGAAGGGCTCCTTCCTAGAAGAGCCTGCGTGCTCTAATTCAGACAGCACAACTCAGGGCCCTAGGATCCCTAGAATATACACTCCCAAGACCATTCCTGGCTCTAAGGTTGAGTGGACTATCCATCTGAGTTCCTTCTGAAATCTTCAAGCACTGACAAAGCAGGTCTCCCAGAAACAGGTAGTCGTCGACACAATGTCCAGAGTTCAAAACAGGTGGAAAGGACCCCTTAAGATAGGTGGGTTATGCTTAGACCTCCCTTACAGATACAATGACAAATCCTAAATGTGGGCCGCCCCTGTCCATAATAAATAGTCCTCTGCTCTGTTAGCCAAGGCCTTTCCAACTTGCCACCTAACTTCAGGGAAAACATCAACAAATCTCAGGGTGACTACCAGGCAATCTTGGGCCCTCATTCTGGTGCTTTAGGTTCCTTTATGGACAGACAGGCAAGAGCTCAAATAACCTTCCTGAGAAGGCTGGTGTCGAGAAAAGGTTCACCAGAGATGAACACTTGACTACATCTCAGAAAGGTCCACTTTTCCAAGGTTGGTTTGTCTGATTGAAACCTGTGCTTATGAAGATACAAACAACCAAGAACCCTTCACTCTTAAGACTCTGAATGAAGAATGAGAATTTCTGAGCCAGAACTGCACCCTCAAGAAGAGCTGCTAAGAGAGGAAGGCTTGAGCAGCTGAAGCCCTAGGAAGTGTCTCAGCTGAGTCCCTCTGCTCAGACTTGAGAGGAGTATGTACATTCAAAACAGCTGTGTGGCACAGCTGGAAAACCAAGTGCCTGAATGATGGTGCCGATTCCCAGGTGCCATGCCTGAACTTGAGTGTGGTTCCTGGATGGCAGAAATGATTTCCAAAATCAAGTCCTGCTTGCCTGCCTCTCCAGTGAAGTTTTATCCCAACAGAGTAAGCCAGAAGACACTAGGCCTACAGGAGGAAACAAATGGTGAGGAATATCCCAGTTGGGACCCAAGACAATCATGGGCAGTCATGAGGGAGAAATATGAGATGGCTGACACAGGTCGGGAAGAGACTACACACCGTAGAGTGAGTTTGCTTTTGGTTTTGAGACAGGGTCTCATATACTCAGGCTAGCTTGAACTCTCTTATAAAGCCAAGGATAATCTTTACTGATGCTCTTGCCTCCACCTGAGCCCTGGGATTATGGGCATGCACTAACACGCCCAATTCATGAAATCAATGCTGGGGACTGAGCCCAGGCCCTAAAATTAAGATAGCTCTTTATCAACTGAGCGGCACCCCCCCTCAACCCAGAATAAGGTCACCACCACCACTATTTTCACATCCAAAGCAAGGGCCGGGTGGGGAGTGTACAATAATAAACCTGCCATAGAATCTACTGAACTAAAAAGATGAATGCTTATCAAACCAGGAACTTCCTCTCGTGTTCTCCATGAGTCATTCATGACTTTCACACCTGACTTAATCTAAATTCTAAATCTATTTTTTGTCTAATAAACATCTTAAGAGTGAAAAGAGCTACAACTCTGGGTCCTCGCCACAACTGCTGGTCACACTTTTTGATGCAGGTAATGACGAGGAGCAGGTACACACCATTTCATACAGGATAGGAAAGAGCAGGGGACAGACGGGCAGAGGAAACGGCTAGTCCCCCTCATGAGCCACAGCATAAACCCACAGCTGTCCCCAACCTCAATGTAGAAAAGGATACGGCAGGAGAACTCCACACTGCACGGACAGAGTCACCCAGGAAGGCTGAAAAAGAAAAGAATGACACAAATCAAAAACCATTCATAATCTGTGTCCAAAATGACATGACTTCACTAGTAGTGGCTTCTGGAAATTAGAAGGCTCTGTTGTGACCCATTACAGACATACCTGCGTAACACAAGAACAAGGAAGCATGCCAGGCGTTGGTGGCGCACGCCTTTAATCCCAGCACTCTGGAAGCAGAGGCAGGCGGATCTCTATGAGTTCGAGGCCAGCCTGGTCTCCAGAGTGTCAGGATAGGCTCCAAAGCTACACAGAGTACACAGAGAAACCCTGTCTCAAAAAACAAACAAAACAAAAAACAAAAAAAACAAAAACAAGGAAGCAGCAACCAAAGATCATGTGCCCAAACCACGCACCCCAGTTCCAAAATGAAGTAGCCACTGCACTCCTTAGGCTTGTGACAGATACCTAAGTTTAGGTTCACACTCTAATCGCTGCCTGCCTCACCCACCAGCTCTGCCCAGTCAAAGAACAGACTAAATTCACAAGGTCTTGGTATTATTTAAAGCCAAGGATATACAATATTTTACAAAACATTAAAAAATTAAAAAAAAACAAGCAAGCAAACATAAAAACCTTCTTCTAATCTTAGGAATTCCAAATTTATATTCATTACAATAGGTGAACTAACAGCTATCTTCTGGGTACTTTATATTCTTGGAAAATTAGCTCACCTTATATTTCTAATTCAATTTTAATAATTAGACCAACTGTTACTATTCTAATAACTCTATTTCAAGAAATGACAAGCTGAAAGTCTAGCAATGGTGCCTGTTAGCCTGCTGACTCTGAGAAGCTTGGACAAACAAAACATATTCAACTGCTCACTACTGAGGCAGCATTGTAGTCAGCAAAATACATTCCAAATCTGTGCAGAGACGGTGCAAAACTCAGGGCAGACAGTGAACAGGAAGAATATAGTCTTTCCCCTCATGCTGATCAGTAAGGTAGACTTGACCATAGTGTCCACCTTACTGCCTTCAGACCCAGAGTGCACCCCACTTAAATTACATGTATTTTAAGTGATACATGTAATTCTTTTCTTTCTTTCTTCTTGGGTTGAGATAGGGTCTCATGAATCCCAGGATGGACTCAAACTTGATATATAGCCAAAGCTGGCCTTGAATTTGTGACCATACTAGAATTCCAGGCCTCTACCACTATGCCTGACTAAAGTCTGTTTGTTCTCTATGACAAGAACAGTATATTTTACAAAATGAAGACTGGCTGTATCTGGGGTAATTTCACCAGAGGCATGAGACGACTTACTGAATAGTACAGCACTCTGGCAAAAAGTCCCTGCCATTTCCTTGCTTTAACCAACACTGCTCCCTACTGTCTGATAATCCTGATTTGATTCCAATGAAATCTAGGTACAGGGTCAACAGCAATAACCTGTCCTGGACCAGGCATGGGGGGTGCAAGTCTGTATCCCTTGCAATAGATTTGGCAAGGTAGGAGAACAAGGCCTAGACCACATACCAAGAAAAAAACAAAACAAACTTTGTGGCCAACTCTTCTGAATTCAGAACGTCTTCTCATGGCCAAACTTTCTTCCCAACAGGGTCACCCAGAAGGCACGAGAACCTGTGGAACTACAACTGAGCTTACAGGAGCATTCCCAGAAACAGTACTGCCAGCTGTCATGTAGCCTGCACCCAGACGGCTGTCACAGCCTGCAGCAATGTACTATGAGAAGTATGGACTGAAAAATGGTGGCACTTTTCTTCTGTTCAGTGGGAAGAAGCCATGGGAACCCCAAAGTGCACTCAGCTTCGAAGCCCCAGAGAGCCTTCGCAAGACTGAGTAGGGTTCCTCATTCCAAGCAAAGGAGGGCCACCTCTCCAGGCACCAGACTAGTGAAAAGCTAGGCCCACTTGTGAAGCAGAATGGAAACAGGCTAGAGATGGCTCAGCTGTCAGGAGCACTGGCTGCTCTTCCATAACCCCAGGTTTGACTCCCAGCATCCATATGGTGGCTCATAACCATCTGTAACATCAGTCCCAGGGAACTCAATGCCCTGATCTGGCCTCCCCAAGAACTAGGTACATTCATGGTACACAGACACACATGCACGGAAAACACTCATACAAATAAAATATTAATTTTCAAAAAGTTAGAATCTAGGTTGTGATGGTTTGGATTAAGAATGGTTCCCATAAGCTCATATATTTGAATGTTTAGTCATCAGGGAGTGGCACTATTTGAGAAGGATTAGGAGGTGTGGCCTTACTGGAGGAAGTGTGTCACTGTGGGTGGGCTTTTAGGTTTCAAGTTCTCTCTTTGCCTATGAATCAGGACGTAGCTCTCAGCTACTTCCAGCACCTGCCTGCATGTCACCATACTCCCACTAAATCTCTGAAACCATAAGCACGCCCCCAGTTAAACACTTACCTTGACCACAGTGTCTCTTCACAGCAATAGAACAGTGACTACGACAGAAGTCTAAGCCAAAGAGCATGCCCTGCCTCTGGGGGTCAAGCCTCAGCCACCCCCAACCCCCATCCCCAGCTAAATCCACATTCCAGCACCTGCACAGGATCAAGGACAGGTCTCAGCTCAGACTCAGGAGAGGGCAGGAAGTGCCCCCAAAGATTCAACTGAAAGTCAGCTCTGAGAAGCCTGTCGCCCTGTGACAAAACACAACAGTTGCTGGCTAACACGGGCACTGCCGCAAATAACAAGTGCACTGGGATGCTGACATGGGTCACCTATTCAAGAACTACAGTCAACGCAGGTAGACTGTGAGACAGCGCACAGTCTGTCATGACGGAACCGTGTAGTTTTTAGAAATGCAGCGGCCATATTGTACACATGAGGGACAAAAGCAGGCCCACTTGCTTTGATATCACCATTCTGAAATGTCACCTTTTAACTGCAAACTCCTCTTGCAGGATGAAATGACCTGCACTGCACGCTGGATCACTGATCCTATACACAGTGTTGTCTGGCAGTTTCATTACATTTTATCAGGTGGTTTTACCCAAGTATTTACCTATTGTTCATTTTCCTTTTATTTTCCCTTTACATGTCAGCAGCTTCAGCAATTTATATTTGCTTTTGTTTTGGTGCTAAGAACCCAGGCCTCATGTAAACTAGACACTGCCCTGCCACCGGGCCACACCCTTAATTCCTAGGTACAAATGTATATGTGTTGTGTGTGTGTGTGTGTGTGTGTGAGAGAGAGAGAGAGAGAGAGAGAGAGAGAGAGAGAGAGAGAGAGAGATGCATATGTGTGCACCTGTGCACACACGCAGAGGTCAGAGACACATCAGGTATCCTACTCTATCACTCTCCACTCTAGTCCTTGAAACAGTCTCTTACTGGCTGGTGGTCAGGGAACCCCAGCAATCCTCCTGCCTCCATCCTCCCCTAGTACTGGGTTACAGACATACGCTGCCATGCATATTTTTCATGGGTGCTAGGAATCAGACTCAGGTCCTCATACAAGCAAGCTCTGTTACCCACCTCATCATTCATCTCCCCAGCTCTGATTATTAAATCATGTGATAAGCTATCTTACACATGAATTTTATTTCAGAAACTAAGGGAGTAACACAAAGTTTATTGCAAAGGGAGACTTGGGGCCAAATGTGCTAAGATCCATCACTATACTTGGTCTGGCAACAGTGACCTAGGCCCAACAACATGTTTGAAAGGTAACCCTTTCCCTCTTAATCTATATGAGACACGCAAGCACTTTACTATACAATGGCTAACAGAAATCAAGCTCCCAAGAAGGGAGGGCTAAGATGCAAACCCAAGAAACCTGCCCTGGCTCACAGCCAGACATCTGGCAAGCTTTAGCAAGAAGGACAGGTGAAGTGCCCAGGAACCAAGCTGAGCACCAATCTTCAGAGACATAGTGGGCCTGAGCAAGCACAGGTGTTGATGTCCATATGTGACCGCTGGATTTACTGCCACAAATGAATCGTTCTCTGATGTGGTAGCTTCCTCAGCAGACCACCTTTCAAGCTCATTTTCAAAAGTCAAGTGTGCAAGCCTGCAAAGTTTTCTAGCTCCTAGATGCTGTAAGGGTACCATATCCAACAGACAGTCAGCCCCTCAACAGCTGCTCTGATACAGTCATTTCACTCCTGCTGTTGTGGAACCATGGCCACTTACTTGTTTGCCTCTTAAAGTAAAGCACTGAACACTAAGAAGACGGCAGTGGTAGCAGGTAAGGAACAAACTGAAAGGCCACCACAGAAGTAACACGAGTCACATATAAACATCCTGACTTACCAGTTCCCACAGTACGGTATGCAGGTGAACAAAAGCCACAAAGTGCTCACCAGCTGAAGTCCCACATTCTACAAACAAGTGCCCTAATTCAGGCTGAAGATCAGTCCAGATGGCCACCAGGTGGACAGCTAGTACAGTGAGCCACCATGGGAGATGAGGGCAGTTAGCAGGGCAGAGGCCTTCTCCCTTCAGCTACCCAGCTGGAAATCAAGACCACTGGCCACCAGGGAAAGGATAGCTGCCTTTAGAAGCTTCTGGAATCAAATGTCTTCTTACGATATTAAACACCTATCTGACAAGACAGCGAAGCCATTTCCTAGGACAGGTTTCCTAAGCCAGAGAATTGGCAGGAAGTGATAGCAAGAGAGTACTCCCACACTGACCAGGAACTACTTACACAGCAACCTTGCCATGTAGTCATGGAACCACAAGTCCCAAAGTTAAACCTGGCGACTAAAGTTTAAGGGCTTCATTCACCTGACGACACCCCACTTAGCCCTGGCTCACTGGCACCAAGCCTGGCAAAAAGCCCTGCTAGAGGGCCAAGGCACTTCTGGGGAGACACATGACGAAAGGCAGAGGCTGGGACTTTCTACTGACCTTTACAACAGGCAAGTCAAAGACCTCCCGGGCTTCTCCCACCTCAGGGTTATCCCCATCCTCTGAAATGATGTGTGAGGCTAGGGCATTGTATGAGACTTCCTTGGCTTTCCCAGCTTTAAGAAGCTGAATAACCTAAGAAAACAAAACAAACAACACAATTAATTAAAGAAAATACTGTATTGCCTTCCTGATCAAAGAAGTCATAATTAGCAATAACAGAAACATTTAAGAGAAACACCCTGTCCCCTACAGAGAGGCCTCTTCCTGAGTGATAAAACCAATGAAATGCTTTTAGACCATAAAATGCAGGAACAGCCCAAGTCTTAGAGGTGTAGTGGCCAGCTACTAGCCATCTGCTGTCCTCCAGACAGGGTACACCAGGACACAACAGCACAAGCTGAGCTCTATTGAGTACCTGTTCCAGGTCTCCAACCCAAAGGCTGAGGAGTGGCACTTCCACCACAGTTAGGAAGTTTCTGGAGGTGGAGAATCCTGACTTGTAGATGCTCATCAGGCACTGAGGGAGGCCCAGCAGAGGAGCTCAGATACAACCATGGACAGTGTAGTCTTGGGTACTATGCTCAACAGTTTTCCTTAAGGAAGATGGCACCAACAGATCTTACAGATGGATATAACATAGGAGTACATAGGTCGGCCATGTGCCCAGAGAGACTAGCTAAGACACAACTGTGAGAAGCAGGTTACTAAAGAAATTGTCGGTAGCAGCAAAAGGAAAACAGGACAGAATTAACCAGACAGGGTACAAACATAACAGAAAAGCCAAGATGAAAATGCTAGCATCTTCCGGGAGAATGATCAGAAGCAGAGAGGGGACGGGCACACTACTCTTTGGTCTCATGTGATACCTGGTGAGAGACCTCCAGTTACACCTAGAGAGGACCTTGGCTCTCCAGAGATCATAACTACCTGTTACAGATGGGAATCAAAGTTCTCAGAGCCACTGAGGCAGCCACCTGGATGCCAAATGCTTAGGACTCATCAGAGACACATGGAGCTAAGAGAAGCATCAGAGGAGGGCAGCTTGACATGGGAGTGCAGGCCAGAGTCAAGGAAGAGCCATAGGAAGCACGGTGTCTAGGATAGTCTGCTGAGTATTATTTAAGAACCGGAGCAACCCAGGAAGTGTGTACCTGCTGCATGGAAAGTCAAGTCACCAGTCTCCAGCCATGAGCCATCCGGCCTGGACCCCAAGCATCTTTACTTTCACCTATGAACTCCACCCACCTGCTGCAGCCTGCATTACCTTCAGGAGCATGCACACAGCCCCCACCTTCTCAGGTCCCATTGCTTTCTATTCATGACAAATTTCCAGGAACAAGTCTCACTTTGCTGTCCATCTTTTCCATGTATTAGCTCCTTAACTCCCTGCGGCGGAAAACCCTTCCCAGCAAACTATGCAAAGTCAGGTTGCAGACACAAAGGACACCAAAACTTCTTCCCAAACTGCATATTACTAACTCTGTCTCAGAGAAGCCACCTTGTAACTCCGCCCAGTGACCATCAGGACACATGCCAAGTATATATAAACGCCTTCAATTAACTAGCACATGCATTCCACACAGAGAAAACAACTTCTTGTGCTCAATAACTGCTTAGTGAAGCTTCTACGGCACCTACACCTGTCCGTAGGATGCAGCCGTTCAGTGATGTCTTCTACAGCACACTGTGTGCCAGGCCCAACGTGTACCAGGCCCAATGCCCAGGCTGTACTGGGAGTGCTCACCACCTGTGAGCTTCCTCAACCAGTATCACAAGACTCAGGGAATAGGTGCCCTGGCTCTAAACCTTTTAGAAAACACACTATTTCAGATTACAAGGGCATGCCAGGGAGATTTTTTTTAAGCACTCAGATTTCACACATAGTTGGGCAGTTCGGTGTGTTCCTGGTTTCAAGTGACATTTGGTCCAGGTCTCTTGTAAGAGCCAAAGTCCTAAAATGAAAAATAAGACGGGGGAAGAGAAGAGTGTGGTACTGGGAGGATCATCAGTACTGGAAAAAGTCAGTTACAAGCACTCATCCTCATCACTCTGGAGCCAACCAGGAGTCTCAACGACTAAGACCCAGTAGATCTCTGTTACTAGGATACAGGTAGGAGCCTCTGAAAGGCCACGTTCACCGGCTCTTAGACAATTCCTTCCTTGGGACACCGAAGGCGACACAACTGTACGCATAGTTTAGGAAAGAAAATGTTTGGGACACCGTCCTATAGATTACCACGACCACAGGCAGTGTCCTGGGGATGGATCCAAACCCATGGCTGCTCGCACGGATCACTGTGACCCTAAGGGTCGGGTACCTTCCGCACCTACCGTACATTCCACCCTTAGGGAAAACCAGGGGCCGAGAGGACAGGGCCCTCTACAAGGGACGCTCTCGGCA